TAGGCAGACCAGGGGTTGCAAACTATACTTATTACAACTGTAGTCGCAAACTATAGTTATTAACAATATTCTGAGCCTGTTTTTGTAAATAAAGTTTTATTGGCCTACAGCCACATTCATTCATTTACATATTGTGAAAAGTTTGCGGCTCCTGGTGTAGACTCAGGCATTGCAGGAATGAATGAACAAGCCTGTCTATTTTCTTGTTGAGCCCACCTGTGGGAGAAGCAGGGAAATCGGAACATTTGCTTACAGAGCCTGCAATCATCCTGTCATAACACAGGTCGCAACCTGTTTGCCTTCCCAGCAGGCTGGTAACACACCTTACACTTGTGGGGGTGAACCTGAAATGATTTGCTTTTCCTGTTTTAAATGTTCCATATTGGTTATCAGATGATTTTGATGGAGCAGGAAACATTTACAAGCAGCAGATAAGGCAGGTATCTGATTGACAAGATTACCAGGGAGCTAGGTCTCAGCAGCAGCGTCCCTGGTTCAGGAAAGGATGGGATCTCCTGAGAGATTGGAGCAGCCTGATGCCCAACTCCTGGCGACCCTCCCAGGAACACCCGCGCCCCACCCCGGTGTGGGGCAGGGCAAGGACTTGGGGAAACCTACTGTCTGAAGTGGCAAACCTTTGGCTTCTGTGCTATAGAAAGGACTTGGGTTGCCCAGTTAGGGAGATCAGCGGCCATATTCTAATTTTCCCGTTAGCTTACTGAAAGGAAGTCAGGCACTGAACTATGGCTTTCTGCTGTCTTGCAGAAGCCACAAGAGCATTCTGGAAGACCCTACTCAGGTTAGAGATAGTTCTGCTTGCTTGATATAACAGGTTATCTTTCTTTTTGTTTGCTAATCCTTACCAGAGGATATTTTTCCATTGATTTTTAGAGAGAGTGGAAGGGAGGGGGAGAGACACAGAGAGAGAAACATTGATGGGAGAGAGACACATCGATTGGTTGCCTCGTGCACTTGGCCCTTGACCGGAATTGAACCTGGGAACCTTGGTCCGAGGGCCGATGTTCTATCCACTGTGCCAAACCGACTAAGTCGGCCACAGTTTATCTTTCAATAGAACTTTTCTTCTCCTCTTCTAAGCACCCAAAGAAACCCAAACAGACCTGCTACATTAGTGTCTCTCAACTGAAGGCAGTTTGGTTCCCCAAGGGACATTTAGCAGCGTCTGGAGACATTTTGGGTCGACACAATTTTGTGTATGGGTGGGGGGGGATGCTATTGGATCTAGCCAGTGAGCTACATATAGCTACTACATAGTGAGCAGGAAAGCCCCTCCACCCCAAGAATTTTCTGGCCCCAATATCACTGGTGCGGAAGTTGAGAGCCTTTGCTCTAGATAAGGTTACCTTTTCGTGCCCCCATCTGGTATATTTCTCGTGTCTTCCTAAATGCCCAGATTTTTTCCCCTCCAGCTTTATGCATTAAGCAGAAATTATTTTCGAACTACAGAGAATATTCTCTCAGGGTTCACTCAATCAGAATCTCTTCTGCATCCATCATCCTCTTATAGGGGGCACAGGGACAAGAGAAAGTTCAGATAAGTTTTTTTTGAAATTTTATTTTCATTTACAGTTTACATTCGATATAATTTTGTGCTAGTTTCAGGTGTACAGCGTAGTGGTTAGAAGAAGCATACACTTTAGAGAGTGATCCCCGATATTTCAAGTATCCACCTGGCACCATACATTAGCAATACAATATAGTGACTATATTTATTTCCTATGCTGTACTTTATATCCCTGTGACTACTTTTTAAAAAAAATATGTTTTTATTGATTTTAGAGAGAAAGGAAGGGAGAAAGAGAGAGAGAGAGAGAGACATCTATCAGTTCCCTCCTGCATTCACCCTGACCCTGACTGGGGATCAAACCCACCATCTGGGCATGTGTCCTGACTGGGAATCAAACCTGTGACCTTTTGGTGCACAGGACGATGCTCAACCAACTGAGCCACACCAGCCAGGGCCCTGTGACTGTTCTGTAACTACCAATTTGTACTTCTGAATCCCTTCACCTTTTCCACCCAGTTCCCCCAGAGAAGTCTTTTTAACCTGGTTTTCTCACCAAGTAAGACTAGTAGTGTCTACCCTGAGTACCCCTCTGGGTGGTTGTGAGGATAAAGTGAAGATGGTGTGTGTGACAGTATGCTGAAGACCATAACGTGGGAAGAATATCGGAGCAGTGTTACTCTCTGGAAACCAAGTAAATGGTCTGTCTTAACTGTTGAAGTGACACAGGGACATAACTGGGCTCAAGAGCCATATTCCCTGGAGCCAGGTTTTAGAGGACTGGCTTATCTGTGTCTCTGGGCTTGGAGCCATTTTCTTAAACGAGTAAGCCTACTTTCTTGGCTGCAAACGCCTGTTCGAGTTTTATTGGGCTTTGATGCACTCGGCAAATGGATCCCTTTAGTCAGGTAACAATTTTGGTCCTAACTTGGGGCTTTTTTGCCTGTGAGTTTGGTGATGCTGGCTTGGAGCTTGCCACCAGGCCCCTGCCTAGCAGCTGCCCAAGACCTATTGTCTTGGAAATGGAGGCTAGATGGCTGTCTGTAACCGGGCGCCCCCTGCCTATGGCACTTTTGTTTGCAGCATGAGAAATGAGGAATTGAAAAGGCCTAGATTGAGAATTTGCTCTGCTTTTGGAAATTGGAGATGTCTTATGCCCCAGGCCCATGAAAGTGGATCAACACTACCTATCACACCATCATGAAACTATAGACAGAAAAACACCTTGGTTGACTGACATCAGAACCTGATACAAGATCAACCAATCAGTACAGCCCAGGACCCCAACTCCCTTAAATCACCATGATTTTTATTTTCTGGTCAATGGATTTTATTTTCCTTTTTGAATGAACAGTAGCCATATTAGATTTATTAAACCAGTAATGGAAACACGTTACTGGTTTGTCAATAGACAGACAAAAAGTTCAGACACTGACTCAAATACATATGGAAATTTAGGGAGCCAATTTAATCAGAGAATAACAAGATAGATTTTCTATCTTGTTGGACCTTTAACTTTTTCTTATTTCTCTAAATTTTTTATTCTTTTTAAAAATATTTAATAACCATAATTAATTTTTCCTGTATATAATATGTCCCCGTGTGGGCCATCGGGGAGCCAGGTTTTAGAGCCCTAGCTTACCTCTGTCCCTAGGTTTGGTGCCATTACCTTGAAGTAATAATCCTCTACTTCCCTTGTTGCATGCTCCCCCGCCCCTCAGTGCAATCACTCTTGAAAGTCTTAGTTGTTTTCTTAATAGAAACGAGAGTAGGAGCTTTAGAAGGATTGGATAATGAGGATCTGCCAGGCATCTGTGAGGCTCTTTATCAAGGAAGAGCAGGCATTTGAGAGCATTAAAACCTCATAATAAAAACCAGGAACAAGACCGAGGTGCCTGCAATCTTGGCCACTTTTCCCCATTATCCTGGGGGTTCTAGCCAGAAAGTCCGGCCAGCCTGGCTCAGTGGTTGAGTGTAGATCTGTGAATCAGGTGGTCACGGTTTGATTCCCGGTCAGGGCACATGCCCAGGTTGTGGGCTTGATCCCAGGTGTGGGTTGTGCAGGAGGTGGCCGATCAGTGATTATCTCTAATCATTGATGGTTTTCTCTCTCCCTCTCTGAAATCAATAAAAATATTTTTAAAAAATAAGGAAAAAAGAAAAGTAATGTGACGATATGAGGCATGAACGGACAAAACTGACATTACTCAGATAAGTTTTTTGTTGTTGTTAATCCTCACTGATGATATTTTCCCATTGATTCTTAGAGAGAGAGGAAGGGAGGGAAGGGGAAGAAGGGAGGGGGAGGGAGAGAGAAACATTGATGTGAAAGAGACACATTAATTGGTTGCATCCCACACACTGGATCAAACCTGCAACTCGGGGACATGCCCTTGACTGGAAATTGAACCCATGACCTTTTGGTGTGGGGGTCAACATTCTAACCATGAAAAACACTGGCCAGTGCCTCAGACATAAGATTTTGTTTTTTTACTTCAAAATAAGATATGTGCAGTGCGCATAGGAATTTGTTCATAGTTTTTTTTTAAACTATAGTCCGGCCCTCCAACGGTCTGAGGGACAGTGAACTGGCCCCCTGTTTAAAAAGTTTGAGGACCCCTGGTTTGGAGTGTGGCTTTGCTGGATTCTATATTATATCATTAGGGAACTATTGCTCTTGGTATTTCAGGATGATATGGGGTCTGGCTCCTGTGAATTGGCTGCCCATCTCATCTTTCTGCCATTGTTGGTCCTAAGTAGTTGATGTAACTCCTGGTCAATGGGGACCTACCATGTTTAAGAATCACGGCTTCAGGAAGCCTCTTGTTGGCTCATAGTATTATTATATGCATTCAGGGTAGACGTACTAGTAAAAAATGGGTGATCCTTTGGTGACTCAAATCCAATGGATCTATTCTCCAAAAGCCTGATGTTGAAAGAATCCCAGGGCAAACTGACATTATTTTGTTGGCTTTGCACATTTAGACTTCCATATATTGGGCTCTTAACTATATCAGCAATATTAGTAATGGTGGCACTGTGTTATATGCATGCATTGTATCATCCCATTTAATCCCGACCACAATACCATGAAGTTAAGTATTATCGTACCCATTTTACAGATGAGAAAATTGAAGCTGAGAGGTTAAGAGACCTGTCCAGGGTCATGTAGCTGGTAGAGCTAAAATTTGAACTCGGGTATGCCTGGGTTGTAGCCATTTTGCTATCCTGCTATAGGGCTGCCAATTAATTCTTAGACATTAGTTTTTTAATCTATGTCCTCTTAAAATAGAAGCAAGAAAAACATCCTAATATGTAAACCATGTATTGAGTAGTGTAATCCAGGGTGGCTTTTTAATTAATGTATGAAATGCTGTAATTGTCTTTTGTTGTTTCTTGATGTGTTTGTTAAAATTCCTTTTGAGAATGCACATTTGTTTTGAAACCAAACCTGTCTTTCTTGCCTACATTTCAGTCAGAACTAAGACATGGTCCGTTTTACTATATGAAGCAGCCACTCACCACAGACCCTGTTGATGTTGTACCGCAGGATGGACGGAATGATTTCTACTGCTGGGTTTGTCACCGGGAAGGCCAAGTCCTTTGCTGTGAGCTCTGTCCCCGGGTTTATCACGCTAAGTGTCTGAGACTGACATCGGAACCAGAGGGGGACTGGTTTTGTCCTGAATGTGAGGTCAGTTTCTGATGAATGAATGCATTCTCTGCCTGGTTTCTTCTCCTTTCTCTTTCTCCCTTATATTTTTAACTCTTCAAATCATCAAGATGCAGGGAAAAGAGAAATTTCTTGCCTTCCACCTGCTCTATCCTGGTCATCCATCTCCTTTTTGGACCAACATTGGCAGTTGGTCCAAGTGGCCTCTTGGAAAGACATTCTTTTTGATTCCTCATGGGTCTTTGGATCGCTTTGAGATCCGCAACCTTCTCTTTTGTAATGAACATTCCAGAAGTTAACTTATGCATCTTTACCTATTTTGAAAAGATCTCATGCTATTTTTCCCTTTCTTGGATGTTGTCTCCTGCTTCATCATTGAATCATCGGCAGTAGCCACGCTAGGAAGACCAATTTAGGTTGTATATTCTGTGTGGTTGCCATCTGATGCTTCCGTTCTGGCAACATCTGCTTCTTCTGTGCTCCTTCGGTGCTAGGGAATCAGCAGTAAAGAAAAAGAGGCAAGAATCACATTCTTTTCAGGAGGAAAGGGCAGAAACCAGGCTACATAAAGTTACGTACAGTGTGTTAGAGGAAGAGTGTTCTGGAGAGAATGAATTGACGATGAGGAATAGGGAGTGAGGAGGGCGCAGGGTGTTCCCATTTTAAGTGAAGAGACCCAGGAAGCCTTACTAAGATTTGAGAAAGACGTGAAGAGGAGGAGAGAAGACCCTCCAGGCAGAGGGGCAGCAAGTTCAGGACCCCAGGCAGAAGGAAGCGCACTGGCACAGTGAAGGGAATGTTGTATTTCATCTGTAGCAAAGTCTAAACACTCCTTCAAACAGTTGGGGTGGTTTCCGCTGTTCTGAAGTGCCTTCTGTTCTTGGTGACTTCCAACTAGGATGCTCTTCAAAATGCTGAAAATAATGTCGTCTATAGAATCATTTCCTGTGGAATGTCACGTGATCCAAAGGATCTGTTGGCATTAGATCTCAAACGAGGGAGGCTTTCTATGTGTGAAATGGAAAGTTCACCCAGATGTTATTTGTGGGGAAAAAAAAGCAAGCTATGTATAGGACAGTGTCTGTGGTGCCACTTTGTGTAGGAAAAGGAGAAATATAAGAAATTAGACTTTCATCCAATAGGATGGTGACATTTTAATGGTGTTCTGCCCCTGAAATTGCAAAGGATGGCCTCTGGTTCTCTTTGGGTTACTCTAGATCAGCGGTTGCCATCCGGTGGTCCGCGGACCGCTGGTGGTCCGTGAGGTCCGAAAGGTTGGCGACCGCTGCTCTAGATGGAGAGATGTGCAGGGCACGTTTTCCTCAGCTACACCCTCTTGGTCAGAGCCTCACCTCATTCTTCTGCATTTAGTGTGGGAACTGGAGCCTTCACCTATTTCCTTTTGTCTTGACCAACCCTCCCTTCCTTCATTTTGCAAAAATGATAGTGGCTCGGAGAGGATGTTTTTGCTGCAAACAATAGATCTTGATGAAAGGTGACAGAGAAACAAGAGGGTTTTATTAGCATGTGTAGGAAAAACCCAGGGCAGGGCCAGGCCAGCGTTTGTTCAGAGCCAGACTCTTTCCATTCCGTCGTTAGGGCCGTGTGTCCCTGCATGGCCCTACGATGGCTGCTGGGGATTCGATGACAGTGGCTAACAAAAATCCCCTAAAAGGAGTGTCCCTCTTCACGTCCCTTTTTATCAAGCAGCCTTGCTCTTCAGTTCATTGGTCAGGATTGGATCACCAGTCCTTATGCAAAAAAGGCTTGAAAAATGCACATCTGGCACTTTCCGTATATCGTGGGAACCGGGCACTGCCAGCCAGGAGGGAAGGGAAGAGGTTGGGGGGAGGGGGCAGAGGAGGCGAATGGCAGTTGAGCACGCAACCCAAGTGTTCGCCAGGGATCGGTTACCTGGAAACGAACGGGAATTCAAACAAACAGGAGTGCTGTGTCTAAGATTTCAAGCCCCAGTTTCCTTGCGGGGTGACTTGGTAGGGCAGTCAGCTGAGAAGATGAGCTCTTTCAGGCTCTGGTAGCCAAGCGATTAGAGACTTGCGTCATGGACTGTGTTCGGCTTCAGAGCCTCTTTGTGTTGCCCTTTTCCTCGACAACCAGACACATCTGCAAGTTCCTTTTGGAGCATCCAGAGACAGGAAGAATGGAAATGAAATCCAAATTAATTGGAGAAAACTTTCTCAGCTCTCTCGACACAGATAGTTCAGGAGCGTTCCCTGCCATCATCAGCCTTGCTGTTTTTGTTGTCTTTGCCGCCCAAGGATGCTGAAGCTCTGAGATGTAGCACCACCAGATTTACATAGCAGAATCCAGTTTCAGGCATTTCTCCGGGTCTCTTCTTGGATGGGAGTTTCCCTCACAAAGTGGCATTTATTGCCCATGGAGCTAAACAGCTAGGCTATGCTTCTTGTGCAGCTTGCCAGAGTGTCCTAAGCGAGTTCCCATCAGTGGTGATAGAGAACTAAGTCATATTTATTATTCGCCACTATCCCTTGGATTCATGCTTTCTCTCAGTGATGTCACTGGGTGAATGCCTTGTCAATTTCCTGACAGATAGCCCTGAACCTTAAGAACATCAAGATAAGTGGTTGATTCATTATATGAAGAGATTACCCTGAAAGCATCAGTGGCCTTTTCTCTTATCCCATTCTTGGAATTCAAGATTGTAATGATGGCGATTTTCAGGTCCCTGCCTTAGCTGCAAGCATCTTTCTCAGATTCTGTCATCTTCATGAGCACAGAGCACTTCTAATAAGGTAGTCAGTGGATTTGTGTGCTTCTGACCTTTATCCATTGATCCAGTAAACTCCAAGTAGATTGGAGTCCTTGTCAAGTGAAACAACTATCGTTTCACTTGGAAATTATTTCCTTCTGTGTGTGAGCTAACTGGAAAGTTAGGAGGAAAAGGAAATCAGTCTGTGGATAGTAACTTTTTCCCTAACTGGCCCTCTGTGTGGTTTGACTTGTAGAAGATTACAGTAGCAGAATGCATCGAGACCCAGAGCAAAGCTATGACAATGCTCACCATCGAACAGTTGTCCTACCTGCTCAAGTTTGCCATTCAGAAAATGAAACAGCCAGGGGTAAGAAGAAAGTTCCTCGTGGTATAAGTGTAAATGGAAGTAGTGACTTTTGTTCTATTAACCTCTTTTTAAAAAAATCTATCTTTTAAAAAAAAATAATATATTTTTATTGATTTCAGAGAGGAAGGGAGAGGGTGAGAGAGAAACATCAATGAGAGAGAATCATTGACTGGCTGCCTCCTGCATGTCCCCCACTGGGGGTTGAGCCTGCAGCCCAGGCATGTGCCCTGACCGGGAATTGAATCAATCGAACCGTGACCTCCTGGTTCATAGGTCGGTGCCCAACCGCTGAGCCATGCCAGTTGGGCTGTTCTGTTAAACTCTTATTCCATAATAGCTTTAGCTATGTGTGCTCTTTAGGCCTTCTTACGTGCCCGAATTCAAACATCTGAAAATGAAATGTAAGTTATGACAGCATTCAGTTCTCTATAATGAGCACTCTGTGTCTGTCCTCAAGGACTTTAGTTGGGAAATGACATATAGTGGAGAAACTTGATGGGGATTTAAAATTCTGATTGGTTATGTAGTGTAAACGCCCTCATACCCCATCGAGTAAGGGGAATTTGACTCCTTCCCACGTGAGTTGGTAAACTTCCATTGCGATGAGAGACCTGAGTACAACCCAGTTGATTTATAATCAAGGTCTGATGATGAAACCTTCAAGTAAAATTCAACCAATGCGGTTTCCCATAAAGGGTGAGAATTTGATTAGTTCCTTCAATGTTGAAATAGGATTTGATGTACGGACCCTTCCCCTTAAGGAAAATTTTATTTATTGACTTGAGAGAGACAGAGAGATATCAATTTGTTTTCCCACTTATTGACGCATTAATTGGTTGGTCCTGACTGGGGATCGAACTTGCAACCTTGGCGTATTGGGATGGCGCTCTAAGCAACTGAGCAACCCGGCCAGGGCGAAGGAATCTGTGTGGAAGCAGGGCTGCCACAGTCGGCTGGCAAATTGCGCACTTCACCTGGTTTCCCTCCTGAGTGCCAGTCTGATCATAGCCAAGGAGGTTTTAGATTTCTTGTGACAGTTTTCAGGAAGATGGCAGTGCCATTATAATCAACATATTACGAAATTTTTTCCTACAGAAACTTGAGGATGGAGTTCTCTTTTTCTCATTTGCACCAGTAGCGAACCTTTGTGACTCTTTGGAGTTTGCTTTCTAAGTCCAATGAATCTATAGAAATGTAGAATATTTAGTAACCACTGTGGTTTAATTTCTTTTAAAAAAGTACGCTTTAGCTTTGAGTTTTCACATAGTGAAATTTTTTTTTTTTTTACTATATTTTATTGATTTTTTACAGAGAGGAAGGGAGAGAGTTAGAGAGTTAGAAACATTGATGAGAGAGAAACATCGATCAGCTGCCTCCTGCACAACCCCTCCTGGGGATGTGCCTGCAACCAAGGTACATGCCCTTGACTGGAATCGAACCTGGGACCCTTCAGTCCGAAGGCCGATGCTCTATCCACTGAGCCAAACCGGTTAGGTGACATAGTGAAATTTGATATTATGATGAAAAAGATTGAGAGTGTGCCAATTAAGTATTGCTAAATTGTAATCTATTTTTCTCTTTATTAAAATGTTCATCAATGGAAGCAAAAGTGAATAGCCTCAGTTTGGTTAAAAAGACAGATTTTTTAAAACTATGGAGTTTTCTATTTTTAGTGACAAGGAATTACTTCCTGTTTTTCATAGGCTGGATTAATTATATCTGCTGAGGACTGTTTCAAGAAGAATAATTATGTAGACTTGTCAACACTGTAGAATGATAAACCACAAAGAAAAATGGGATAGGGTGTTAATTTCTCACATAAATTGTTTGATATAAAGTCAATCAGTTCAGAAAGTTGCTGATTTTTGTGGCAGCATCTTTTAAAAAATATTTTTATTGATTTCAGAGAGGAAGGGAGAGAGAGAGAAACACCAATGATGAGAGAGAATCATTGATCTGCTGCCTCCTGCACGCCCCCTACTGGGGGTCGAGCCTGCAACCCGGGCATGTGCCCTTGACCGGACTCGAACCTAGGACCCTCAGTCCGCAGGCTGACGCTCTACCAACTGAGCCAAACTGGTTAGGGCTGTGGTAGGTAGCATCTTTTAAACTTACAATGGTCACTCATTCATTCTGGATAAAAGGGCTCAGCTGACTGCAAATGGTAATTCACTCAGATCCCTTGCTTGGGTATATTTTGGTATTTATAACTAAATCTTTAAAAAAAATTTTTTTTATTGATAACTAAATACCACCCATCAACAAATCAGGCTTATTTTTTAGCCGATTGACATAGGGCTTAAGACAATGGATCAAAATGAGAAACGTACATAGTTCCTGTGTTGAGGGTAACTGGGCTTTTTAAAGGAGAAGCAAAACCTTGCTGTTTAATTTTTTTTCCCACGTGCAAAATATCTGCTGGCACTTTGGGAACTTTATTTGGAGTGTCATTTTTCGTCCTCAGTCAGTTTTGATTATGGGTATTTGCAGTGTATACATAAACTTCGTTCAAAGTTCAGGTGTAAAGGAACTGATAGTTGTTCTTGTCAATCTTAATACAGGGTGGGGCAAAAGTAGGTTTACAGCTGTGAGTACGTGAAACACAGACTTCATTCTCGTATTACTGTTTATTGTTATTTTCCGTGGGAACAACTGCGAACCTGCTTTTGCCCCACCCTGTATAAGAAGAACAGGACCTGTTATTTGCATATATCCTGAAAAGGGAGCAAATAAAACCAGAACACAGCTGGGTCCATGATTATTGATAAAAAGGCGGAATTAGAAGGGGAACCGATTTGGAGCGCTCCTCAGGATCATTCTTTGTGAAAACTTTAAAGCCTGTTGTCTGAAAAGTTGTTTCCAGTTTAAAGTGCTTTGCTGGCCTTAATGCTTGGTCTTCCCCAGCAATAATGGTTTGTGTCTGTGTGTGCACGTCTTTTCCCTTATAGACAGATGCATTCCAGAAGCCTGTTCCGTTGGAACAGCATCCCGACTACGCAGAATACATCTTCCACCCCATGGACCTTTGTACATTGGAAAAGGTTGGCCTCCATCAAAGAACCTCACCATTGTGTACCCCACGGTTGTCGAGATGACTGAGGATCCGCCCTCATTTTTCGTGCCCCATCTCAACATGGTTTCTCTACGTTTCCTCTGTGAATTTTTATTGGGATGGAAGAACTTTTATTCCCTAACTTCTTCTGTAACATTTTTGCAGGGATTGCAATGGAGTGTTGCAGTCCACGGATAAGCTCCAAATATTACTTCTGCTTGTGATTCTTCACCTGAAAAAGTCATAGCTTCTAAGAATTAGCGATTTGATGGATTTGAACCTTACCTCTTCTCTTCCTCTCGGAGGTGCTAATGAGAGCAGCAGGAGGGCAGAAGAGAAAATTAAGTGTCTGGGAAACGTTCACATTAGCAGTGCATTTATGGCTTCATAGAACTTGACTTCTTTTACTGATAAGGGTGTTTCTTCAATGCCTGGAGGTATTTTTAAAATTCATGCTAAATCTCCATGCTGAAAAGGACACTTGTAAACCGTTAGATTGTGCACAACATCCTGTGTTGATTTTCAAATTGTTGACACCAAAATCTGGGTCAAGAAAGCATGAATGAGGGGAAAGCATATGTGCACTGATAATCCCTAAACAGTTAATCCAACCTGCTTTTGGAAAATTGCACACATCCTCATGGTATTCCAAAAAGCAGGCATTCAAAAAAGGCAGGGTTGGAATTTTAGTTTCATAAATTAATAGCTTTGGAACTCTGCATACGTTCCTTAACATCCCCATACCTTGGCCCACCTGCCTGTAAAATGGGGATGATAATGACTGCTTCATCGAGTTCTCAATCATGAGGCTTATGGGAGACTATTACAAATAATAACAAATACATAAGTATATGTTATGTCCTGTTCCATTGGAATAAGCTACTATAAAATGAGAAAATTCAGGTTAGTGTGATAAATTCAGTGGATGCGCTTTTATGGAGTTATAGATCTCCACTACAATAGCATCTTGGGAAATGGGTAAAAGCATTAATTAATTTGGCAAATGACTGCTAAGAAAATTATGTGGGGACGCAGGTGCTACTGGCTGCGGCTTGTGTAGACTCGGTGGTGATTATGCTCTGGCTTGTCTCTGCAGAACGCTAAGAAGAAAATGTATGGCTGCACAGAAGCCTTCCTGGCTGATGCCAAGTGGATTTTGCACAACTGCATCATTTATAATGGGGGTGAGTGCGTAGATGATGCCTGTGAAAGAGAGTATGCTGTGTGTGTTGCCCCTTCTTCCACTCTTCATAAAAATCAGGCTCTTTCTCGCATCAGGGCTAATGTCTTCGAATACTTGTGTAGGGATTGCTAATATTTGTGAATAGGGGGCCGGTGACTGTGTATTTGAAGTATGAGTTGACATCCAAACTGGCTGTGTGATGCTGCTGCCTGTCCTTTTTAAAAACTTCATTGCAATGGAGGAATAATTACATAAGATAAAAGGTACAGATTTTACGTGTATATTCTATGGATTTGACATGTGTAACCACAACCCCAAATAAGATGTAGAATTTTTTCATCATCCTATTATATTCCCTCTTTGCCCTTTCCAGTAAATCCGGCCTACTGTTCTGTTCTCTGTCACTGTAGGTTAGTTTTGCATGTTGTAGAATTTCATGTAAATGGAGTCATAGAGATTGCATTGCGCTCTTTGGTGTCTGGCTACTTGAATGCAGCATAAGATTTTTGGGATTCATCCATGTTGTGTGTGTCAGTGGTTCATTTTTTTTTATTGCTGTGTTTGTTTGTTTTATCAACATAGAATTTATTCATTCACCTTGTTGTTGATGGGTATTTGTGTTATTTTCAGCTTTTGGTTGTTAGGAACAAAGTTGCTGTGAGCATTCTTGTCCACGTCTTTGTGTGGACATATGTTTTCATTTCTCTTGGGTAAAAACCTAGAAGGAGTATTGCTAGATCACGGAATAGGTTTGTATTTGAGTTTATAAGTGTTTTTGCCAAACTGTTTTTACAAAGTGGTGTGTCATTTTGCACTCCTTCTAACAGTGTATATGAGCCTAAGTTGCTTCATATTCTTGTCAACACTTGGTATTGTTAGTCAGTCTTTTTAATTTTAGCCATTCTTGAAGGTATGAAATAATATGTCATATTGGTTTTAATTTGTCTTCCTGTAAGGACTCATGGTATTGAGGTTTTTTTTGTGTGTCCTTATAAGTCATTTGTATATCTTTTGGTAAACTACCTTTTAAAATCTTTTGCTCCTTTGAAAAATTGGATTTTTGTGTTTTATTATTGAGTTGTAGGAGAGCTTTATATTCTGAATGAAGTTTTGTCAGTTGTGTTGTCGTAGATTTAGAGGATCGAGCCTTCTCGACAGAAAAATCTCCTCTTGGCATCTATGGCCTCAACTTCTCTCCCACAATCCTCTCTGTTTACCTCTGGCCAGCAGATCTTTCAGTGTCCTGTCCGATCCTGTTTCTCTCGCCCCCAGGTCTTGTTCCCTGCTGGAACAGGCTTTACCTCTTTTTCCTGTTGGCTTTTTCTTATTCTCTTGTCTCAGTTTCTCAGTTCTCTGAAGAGCTTTCCCTGGTGAACTAGACCATATCATATGTTATTGTTAAGGGCTGCCACAGTACCTGCCCTTCCTGTGGCAGCATTTCTTACCCTTTCTGGATGGTACTGTTTTTATTTGTTTGAGTTGCTTACCAGGATGTAAGCTCTTTAAGGGCAAGCACCACGTCTTGTTCCCTGCATACCCTTGGGCAGTGATGGCGAACCTTTTGAGCTCGGCGTGTCAGCATTTTGAAAAACCCTAACTTAACTCTGGTGCCGTGTCCCATATAGAAATTTTTTGATATTTGCAACCATAGTAAAACAAAGACTTATATTTTTGATATTTATTTTATATATTTAAATGCCATTTAACAAAGAAAAATCAACCAAAAAAATGAGTTCGTGTGTCACCTCTGACACGCGTGTCATAGGTTCGCCATCACTGCCCTTGGGTCTAGCGTAGACTTTTAGGTAACGTTTAAGAAAAGACGCATGAATGGTAGATGTTTACTTACAGCACATGTTTTGCTCAGTAGCAGGTTGGGGTGTAGGGAGGGAAGAGAGTCCCTGGGCATTGAGAATTTAGATAAAGATTATAAACTCAAACGTATAAACAAGTGAATGAGGACTGGTGAGCAAAACACATCGGCACAGTCAGGGTAGGCACTGACTGTGGGGAGAGCAGGATACTGTGGGGTTGCCTACCTCCTGGTGGGGTTCCTGCCTGGTCTGGCGGGGCTGCCACTGACACTCCATGGTTGCTGGACAGAGTTATCAGATCCCCTGAGGTTTGAAGGCAAGCCAGAAATCTAGGTGCTTATGTGTGTGTGAAATCTTTTTGCCAGCAAACATACAATTTCTGAAAATAGAGTAGCATTTGAAGAAAACATGGATTTCTAACCATCTTGTCCTCTGGTTTAGTGCAAAGGTAAGGGATTTAGAATCCTGGGGCCAGATCTTTAACTCACTAGCTAAGTGGGCTGGTGATGACTCCTGAGCCTTGGCTAGCTCAGTAATGAAATGGGAATATTCCTACCTGCTCCCTATATTATGGCTTCTTGAGGGGTTAACAACAAAATGTATTTTCAGGCACTGGGTACATCAGAGCTACGTAATTCAGTGTCTTTTTCCCCCCGTACTCTTCTTGGGTTGGAGTCTGGGACAGTGGGTAGAGGAGGACTCCTTTCCACTAACTTAAGCCTTTAAAATGTAAAAAAGCATCTTTACTTTTTAAAAATATTTTTTATTGATTTCAGAGAGGAAGGGAGAGGGAGAGAGAGATAGAAACATCAGTGATGAGAGAGAATCATTGATTAGCTGCCTCCTGCATGCCCCACACTGGGGATCGAGCCCACAACCCAGGCACATGCCCTGATCGGGAATTGAACCGTGTCCTCCTGGTTCATAGGTCGATACTCAACCACTGAGCCACGCTGGCCGGACTGTAAAAGCATCTTTAAATATGAATCCATGACTTGTAGGGAAACGCCACAAATTGCTCAGTTTCAGAAAAGCTGACATCAAGGCACAAAGACTGGCTGACAGTCATGGGAGACTACACACAATGTGACGGGTATTAGAAGCCAGAACCTCCTGGTTTTTAGCCTTTAAAAGTTTCATCGTGGGGGAAAGCAAGTTAAAAGGTTGTTAGTGGAAATAAAATCCCAGGGCTGGGCATCAACATGTTTCCATTTGAATTAATCCAATTTTCTTATTCCCTTAGGAAATCACAAATTGACGCAAATAGCGAAAATAGTCATCAAAATCTGTGAGCATGAGGTATGTGTTTCCCACTGTCGTGTTTTAAACGTGTCCAGAGTGGGGATAGGGTGGCTGAAGTTTGCATGTGCAGGATCTCCCAGTGGGTAGCCAGAGTGGCTTTAGAATTTGTTTAGGCCCAGACGGCTCCCTCTCTCTTTAAGGAAAAGTAAAAGCAACTAGGAGGGCCCCCCCATATGTTGTAGAGCACCCGCACCTTAGCCATGATCTAAAGGAGATGGTTCATAATTTCTTCACCCACAGTCTGGCATTGAGTCAGGTCCTTTTCAGTCTTCCTGCAGAAGATGTTGGCATTATTTGGGGGGAAGGTGCTGACTCTTTCTCACAGAGCAGCCCCGGTGTCCTGGAGAGTCCGTTCCTTTCGCAAATACCAGTAGGCTGGATGGTGTGGATGACCAGCCTCCTGGCTGTGCGCCCTGAGGTGGTGGGACAGGCTGGTGGCAGAAATGGTTTCTTTATTAGACCCCCATCGTAAGCGTGAAGAACTTCGATGTAATGGCCTCCACCCTGTCTGTGTACATCCGTTTATTCATTCATTTGGAAAAAGTCTGGATACTGTAGGATATGTTCATGCCTACATGTTCACATGGAAAGAGTTTTATAGTCTACGTTTTTCACGTAGTTTGAATGTTTTCCCAGGTGATTAAACACACAGGGAGAACAGGGTTTTTCATGGCTGTTCTGATGGTTTCCTTAGTATAATGGTTGGAAATGTACCTACCAGGTCCAAGGCAGTAACTTAGGGTGATATTTCCGGATTGTCTTTTGGAAAAGCTGTAGCAACTTATACAACAACCTGGAATGGGTGAGCGTGGCCGTTTCTCTGCGCTCTTTCTAACACTGGAAGTTCTAATGAGGAAAAATACACTTACATCAGCTTGCCGTCAGTGCGATCAGTAAGGACGGTGGCACCTCACTGTGCCTTTGGTTTGCATTTCTCTGGTGAGAAGTGATCATGGACTGTTTTTGATACTGTTAATTGGTGATTAGGAGATTTGTGTGGGTGAGTTTTTCAGTTGTTTCCTTGGGTAAGGGGAGTGAAGTCCTTTAATTGGTGGGGTGCCCCCAGGTGGAATTTATTGAACCCAGATACTCTGTCTGACTTTTATAAAAAAAAAATAGAGATTTGTGTGGGTGAGTTTTTCAGTTGTTTCCTTGGATAAGGGGAACGAAGGCCTTTAATTGATGGGGTGCCCCCAGGTGGAATTTATTGAACCCGGATACTCTGTCTGACTTTTATAAAAAAATATTTTTTTTTATTGATTTCAGAGAGGAAGAGAGAGGGAGAGAGATATAGAAATATCAGTGATGAGAGAGAGTCATCGATTGACTGCCTTGCACACCCCCCCTACTAGGAATCGCGCCTGCAACCCCTGGCATGTGCCCTTGACTGGAATCGAACCCTGGACCCTTCAGTCCTTAGGCGACGCTGTATCCACTGGACCAAATCAGCTAGGGCCTGTCTGACATTTTTAGGCAAATTAAAAAAAAAAAATCTTCACCTGAGGATATTTTTCATTGATATTAGAGAGAAAGGAAGGGAGAGGGAGAGAGAGAGAAACATTGATCGGTTGCACCCTGTACATGCCCTGACTGGGATTCGAACCAGCAACCTAGGTATATGCCCTGACTGGGAATCGAACCTGAAACTTTTTGGTGTATGGGACGATGCTCCAACCAACTGAGCCACCCTGCCAGGGCTCTGCCTGGCATTTTTTAATCCACCTGTTGGCGGTACACTGTTGCTTTGTGGGCTCCAAGGCCAGGGCTGTCCTGGACATGGTGTTACCACTTTGTTCCACCCAGTACCATTAGAATAGAAGTAGACTGGGTAGAAAGGTATTATACTCTGGCATTCATTTTTCATTTATAATCACAAATTATAATTAAGAGATTAATAATTAATTCTTACCTGAGCAGCTGCCATGTATTAGGCACCTTGCAGGATGGAGATAAACGTAAGCCTCATGGTGATAGGAAGATGTAGCAACTAACAGGGCAATGGTGAAGTGCATGGGTTTCGGAGCCCGACTGCCTGGGTTCAACTCCTGGCCCTGCCGCTTCGCTGCAGTGAGACCTTGGCCATGTTACTTGATTTCTTGGGTCCTCATTTTTTCCTCTGAAATAGTGGAGTCTGAATTCAGATCCATTATGCGAGCCTCCAGGGCCCTTGGTTCTAAGACATGATGATATTTTAGGGGAATGCACTTCTTCAGAGGGAGAAGGAGCCCTGGCCAGTGTTGCTCAATATTTGGAGCACTGGCCTGCAAACCGAATGGTCAGGGGTTCAATTTCTGGTCAAGGGCACGCACCTGGGTTGCAGGTTTGATCCCCAGCCATGGTCGGGGCTCAGGGCATGTGTGGGAAGCAACCAATTGATGTAATTCATGTGTCTCTCTCACTTCAGTCTCTCGCTCCCTCCCTCCCTCCCTCCCTCCCTCCCTTCTTGTTTTCTACTCTATGGAAAACAAAATTTAAAAGAAAAAGAGGGATAGGAAGTAATGGTATTTTCAGACTGTCAGTAAAATAGGGCAACATGGAATTAACTAATGGTCTGGATGGTGTGAGTAGAGATGCATAGACACTGAGCATGGCCAGTGGAGGCAGGTGGGCCGAGGCCAGACCACACCTGGTCTTGAAGGAACTGATCAGGTGTTTAGATTTCATTGTTAGTTTCTCAATGTTGGCACTACTGGCATTTGAGGCTGAAGGTTTCTTTGTTGTGGGGACTGTCCTGTACCTCTTAGATCCCCTTGCAAACCACGCCTCCCTCCCTCCCGGTGCCCCCCAAATTCCTGGAGGTGTTGAACCTCCCTGGTAAAGAACCACTGGTATAAGGTCAAATCTATGTTTGTAGAGGGTGGCTCTGGCTGCTGACTCTACGTGGGGAGTGAGCCATAGTGGGAGCTGGTAGATGTTCCAGGAGAGATGGTGGTGGCTTGGGCTGGGTGGAAGTGTTGGGGTTGGTGAGAGATATTCCCTATTGTGTGACTTTGTTTAACTAATGTTATTTTCCAACATCGTCTTGCATTTCTCGAGGGCCTAGAAGCCTAGGCCCCTGGGAAGCCGCATGCTAACTTATTTCTGCTTTACAGATGAATGAAATCGAAGTATGTCCAGAGTGTTACTTAGCTGCTTGCCAAAAACGCGATAACTGGTTTTGCGAGCCTTGTGTAAGTTGGAGTTCCTTCCCTTCGTTTTCTGAACGCTGTGCCTGGATGACTACCCGAGACAGCTTTCGCTAGGTGGCTTACTCGACCAAACTTGGGGTGAAGTTTTTAAGTAATGTTTTTACTGAAAAAGTGATAGCAGAGTGAAAGCAACGCAGGTAGGAGAAACCTCTTCGGCTGCTCGTCCAGAGAGCGGGGATTCGCCAAAGCGATGCAGATAGTGACACAAGTGTTAAATGAGTGTGTCATTCCAAATCTATTTTAAGAGGATTGAGTCCATGGTCACCCAAATGTGGTGGTGGTGGTGAGGGGGCGGTGGTCAGGGGAGAAAGATCACCCTTGTTTCCCTGTGGTTCTGCATTTACCAAACTGGTCTTCTATGTAGAGAAATGCAGTTTTGGAGTGGGCTGGCGGCGGTGGAGTATGCTGGGGGGCGGTGGGGGGCAAGATTGGGCAAGTAAAGTGAACAGTGAAAACACAGTTTATGTCTCTCCCTGCCCTTGGAGATTAACACCTGAATCGCTAAGGGTTTGAGTAGCCCTCCATAAAGAACAAAAGAGGCCAATACTGCCCCTCATTACATGCTAGATACACCCACGTTTAATCCTCCACCGTAACAGAGGCTGTAAGTGCTGCAGTCTCTGAGTTGCACAGAAAGGTGGGATCTTGCTCAGGGCCACCCAGGTAGTCACGGCACAGCCAGTTCTCAAGCCCCGTTTGTCAGTGCTCCGTTCTTGGTTTCACCATTCACCCCGTTCCCATCTTCGCCCAGGCCTACTGGCCACACCGCCCAGGGAACACCGCCTGGGACACTGTCTGGACAATTCTCTTCCAGTTTGTGGCCTCTATCCCCTCTGCTTCGCTTTATCCCCACACACCACGCTGTATGTGTGTCTCTTGCTGTCCAATACATGCAGACTCTGGATTTTGTTTTTCTTTTCCTAGAGCAATCCACATCCCTTGGTCTGGGCAAAACTGAAGGGGTTCCCATTCTGGCCGGCCAAAGCTCTGAGGGATAAAGACGGGCAGGTGGATGCCCGGTTCTTTGGACAACACGACAGGTGGGAGTTAAAAACGGGCTGCAGACGTGTAGCTCGCGCTGAACCTTTGATACGGTCAGTGGGTACGAGGAGGAGCGGACGGGATGGCTATCGTTTTGTTGATTGTCATGCTACCCACCGGGGATCTTGTAGTTTAAAAGTCCTGTTCTGTGCTGTGTCGGCCCTGGGAATAATGCATGGGCTTCAGCCTTTTCAGGTACATGAGAAGAGAATCTTGCTTTCGTGCTTTTCTTGATGAAACCAGCACCAGAATAAGGTTCCATGGTTATTTCAAACGCTGCTGTTCTTTTTTTTTTTTCCTGGAGTAAATCAAACCGTTGTGCAAATTGGTTTTCAAAATAATGCTCTCCGTGACCAGAAGCATTTTCCCAGGTTACCAGTAAATGGATCTCCTATCACTGTGCTAGGTAGCGCCCCCTCCCCCCCTCTTTTCTTTGAAGCTAAATGAGAAATGATAAGGGGTGACTGTTTGGGCAGGTGTGAGCCCTCCCTCCCAGCCTTTCTGCCTTCCCCTCGCCCACTGCGAAGGGAGTTATTCCAGTGACTAGCAGTTCCCTTTAGAGCACAGCCCCCTGCGGGCCTGAGAACCACAGGTGGACGGAGATGAGCAGCAGTTAATATCTTAGCTCTACTTTAGCGAGTTAAGTTATGATTAAATAAGGCAAAAGCCCTTTGGAAGCCCCACCGAGCCGCTTGACAAAAGTGTGTGAGTGTGTCGGGGAGAATATGTAAAAGACATCATGCTGACTATTACACACAGCCACAGAATGTACAGACCGTGCGGTTTATGATTTCATACAACACCGGAATCTGCAATACCCCTCTCTGTTAAATTTTGCTTATCCTCTTGCAAGTCAAAGAAAAGAGTGAATTCCAAAGTAATCTACAAAATCGTTCACTAGGAACCCAGGCCGTCCAGAGTCAGGAGGCGAAATGGAAGTTAGCCGAGATGATCGTGGGTTTGATAGGAGGTATTACCCTTTATTTGATTTTGACCGTTTCTGTTGGAACTCTCTTAAAAATTCATTTATTTGTTCACTCAAAGAAATATGTATTTGGTGCCTGCTGTGGGCCAGGCTGTGTGCTGGATGCTGGGGCTTTAGGATTGGGTAGGCAGACAACACTGTGTCTGCCCATCAAGAGGGTGGCATCCTAGCGGGCAAGACTGATAATACACAAGTAAACAAACAGGTACGATGCCCTCAGGTCAGGCGGGGACGGTGTGGCCCAGGGAAGATCTGGGTAGAGGGGGCCAGAGAGAGCAGAGACGCGGGCGCGGAAGGCCAAGGCCCATTGTGCTCGGGGAAAAGCCAGGAGCACGGTGTGGCTGGAACAGGATGAGGGAGGAGAAGATGATAAGATGTGGGGTTCAGAGGTTGGGCAGGCCCCGGATCACATGGGCTGTTGTCAGGAGTCTGGCTTTTATTTGAAGAGCAAAAGGCATTGGTGGCAGGCTGCAGACCTTCCTGCCTCTTCATTAGAACATCCACGTGTGAACTGCCTTGATGGTTTGGGATTATTCTTGTTCTCCAGTGTGACGTAATCTGGGTAGACTTAAGATACAGGCCCCTATGCACCAAGTGTTCCCAGACCCTGGGATCTGCTGTCCGCTGAGCCACTCTGCATGGACGCCCCTTGGAGGTGGCTTAGGGGCATGAACCTTGCTGGCTCTGGAGGCTGTTTTTTAAAAGACAGCAGCACAAACCTGATTAGATTTTCTTGAGCTCCCTTGGTGTCCTCTGCCCCCTCAGAGGGAATATGCTGAGCTGTTGGGCTCATTTTCGGTGAGGAGCATGCATTGGGCAAGGTGTTTGGACACGCACAGTGGTGGAGTGGCCATATGCTGGCCTTGTAGGAATGTGTCAGTTAGCCTTGGGCAGGGAGTCCCTGGCAGCGGTGGGGGAAGCCACTCCTTCAAGGATGAGCATCCCTCCCTCCCCTGAGATGCCTTTAAAGCAGAATGGGGCCACTTTGTCCACAGCTGGCTCTTATCAGACCCAGGAACAGGACGGGGAGATTACAGAGAGGCTGCAAGACGGGTAGCATGCTGTCCCTTTTACGGGGAGTTTGCTTTCGGGGATGTAGAGCCAAAATGTGAGCCTGGACAGGTGTCAGTGAAATGGGCCAAGACAGCAGAATAGAAATATTACAGACTGTTACCTGGTCACCGTCAGGGTAATGAATCCTGGAGCCCGGGGAGGCTCTTCTGCCAATCAAGGCATGTTCTCAAGTGTCTCATCACGTGCCTTTTGTCCTTTAAAATATTTCCATTTCACCCGGCCGGTTTTGCTCAGCGGTTGAGCATCAGCTCATGCACCAAGAGGTTGCTGGTTCCATTCCTGGTCAGGGCACGTGCCCAGGTTTTGGGCTCGTTCCCCAGCACAGGGTGTGCAGGAGGCAGTCCATCGATGTTGATGTTTCTCTCTCATCGGTGTTTTATCTCTCTCTCCCTCTCCCTTCCTCCCTCTCTAAAACCAGTTAAAATATACTTTAAAAAACCCAAACACACAACTTTAAATGCTATTTTAAAAAATTATTAAAATATATTTTGATTTTTTTCCAGACACACAGTATTATGTAAAAACATAGAAAATATCTTATTAAATTCCTGCAGAGGTGGCATTAACCGAGGGCCAACTATGCAGCAGGCACTGCTTTAAGTGCTTTCTATAAAAGTTGCTTTTATCCCCATTTCGCTGGTAAGAAAACTGAGGCCCAGAGCTAGGAAGAACCTCAGCTGTGGCCTCACAACATTGCCCCCACAGGCTGTTGTATTGTTAAGCAAATCTAATTTTCCTTTAAATATCTCCTGGGCCTGCTTAAAGGAACAGAAACAGTCATTTTCCAGAAATCACTTGCCAAGCAACTTCATTGAAGGCACTTAAGAACCTGGGAAGAAACAGGTAAGGCCCTGATACCAGATGACAGTGTGGGGGAAACTCGGTCCCAGTGACCGACTGGCTGACCAGCTCCTGGTGGTGCCGGGACTGGGGCATTTTGTTTGCTCCCCTTAGTACCCCTCCAGCTTGGGGCTCCTCCTCTGTTTTACTGATGGCAGCGCTGAGGCTGGCTCAGGAACGGGGAGTCCCTTGTCTGCAGACAGTCCTGGGAGCCTGACCGCTCCGCCGGTCTGTCCCGCCTGGTCCAGACCCTTGCCCACCAGTGGTAATGCTTGGAGTCTAGGTCATTCTGCCTGACTTGCAGGTGTGGTTCCTCAGGTCTCAGCATGGAAGCAGCAGTGAGCTGGGATGGATGAGAAGCTGTCATTTCCAGCGCTCTGAGAGCAGATATTGTTGGGGTGGTCAGGTTTAGTGGGTGTGGCAACCTAGCACCGCCAAGCGTTGCAAACAGGCAGCCTGTGCCCTGAATTCTGCCCCATGCACATGCTGTATTTCCCCTGGGCTGCTTTTTTCTTTTAAAAATAGGAACGAGATGCCAACCATTAAAATTTGGGTAAAACATAGTAGAAGTTCCTATTTTGTTTCTCTTTGAAGCCTTGGGAGGCTCGGTAGTGTGGGGCTGACTCTTACAGGGGCACTTCTGATGGCACTCGGGGATGGTATTTGCATCAGACCGGCTGTGAGTTTAATTCCTCCCCACAGTTGACTTGGCTTCCTACAGCGTGATACCAGGCTTGGGTTGATGGTCTGTGAAAGCCAAGAGGCCTCCTTGGAAAGCTCACTCCCACCAGATTCCCAGCTGCAAACGGTTGAGGTTGGGGAATAAAATGTGACCCAAGTTACAGCTTGGATGTTTCTGTGTCAGCTCTGCCTTCCCCAGGGCAGGGGGGTTGTGTGCCCATCTCCTGCCTGATGTCACTCGGGTCACTGATTCCAGGAAAGCAGCTCATGTTCGTTCCCATGAAGTCTCTGCAGAGCCCACGGGGGTGTGGGGTGTTGACGGTAGGGAGAGGTGGAACCCGCCTGGGAAGCGGAGGGCACACACCTGAAGGCTAAGTGAGGGGCGGGTTTCTCGTTATTTTTCATGCGAACTATCTCATGTTCAAAGCCATGCACCTCCTTTTAGGGTTATGGCTTTCCAACGTTCCCTCCTTGCTCCATGGAGAACCCCGGTTTTTAAATTCATTTAATTTTTTTTTTATTGTTTAAAGTATTACATATGTCTCTTTTCCCCCAATTGGCCCCCCCCCCCCTTCCCCCAGAGAATCCCAATTTTAAAAGAGAAAACTTTTCATTGTTTGAGTGCAAAATAGTGAGCTCGGGGAGTAATTTTCTCTTGGGAGGTGTGGTCTAGGATGCAGTGACTGTCTTCTTATTCTCTACCAACCCAAAGCCAAAGGGGCATTATTATTATTTTTTTTTTTTATGGATTAAAATGACTAAGTCCGTTGAGGCTTTTAATGTTTTTGTTAAGTTCATGTTCACGTTCAGCCCTGATGGCATAACGTGTGTTAAGTGGATTGTTTTTTAACCATTCAAACCAAGTCATTTATAAAAGAAAAGGAATGTGCCTTTACGAATCTTGGCAAGAATACTAGGCTAACTGGGTTTGTGTTCAGGAAAAAAACAATTCTGAAACCGACCTGAATGTTCCATTGACTGATGAATGAATAAGGGAAATGTTGTATGTATACATAGTGGAATACTATTCAGCCTTAAAAATTATGCCACAACATTGCTGAAACTGGAGGACAACATGCTAAGTGAAATAAGCCAATCATATAAGGACAAACACTGCATGATTCCATTTTTATATGAGGAATCTATGTCAGATTCATAGAATCGGTGGCATCATGGTTGCCAGGGGCTAGGGATGGGCAAATGGGGAATTACTAGTCAATGGGCATAAAGTTTCAGTTACACACTATGAATATGCTCTAGAGATCTGCTTGCTGTACAACCTTGTGCCTATAGCCAGCAATTCTGTGTTGTACACTTACACGTTGGTTAAGGCGGTAGAACTCCTGTTAAATGTTCTTAACCACAACGAAGTAAATGTTTTTAAAAAGTTACATAAAAATCTTGGAAATGACCAAAGTCAACTTAAAATCTCTCTCTCTTTTGCCCTCCTAGAGCCTGGGTTCCAATAAATAATTGCTACCTCATGTCTAAAGAAATTCCTTTTTCTGTGAAAAAGACTAAAAGCATCTTCAACAGTGCAATGCAGGAGATGGAGGTTTATGTGGAGAACATTCGCAGGAAGTTTGGGGTTTTTAATTACTCTCCGTTCAGGACACCCTACACGCCCAACAGCCAGTACCAAATGCTGCTCGACCCTAGCAACCCGAGCGCTGGTGCCGCCAAGATAGACAAGCAGGAGAAGGTCAAGCTCAACTTTGACATGACGGCGTCCCCCAAGATCCTGATGAGCAAGCCCATGCTGAGCGGGGGCACCGGCCGCAGGATCTCCTTGTCGGACATGCCGCGCTCCCCCATGAGTACAAACTCGTCCGTGCACACGGGCTCCGACGTGGAGCAGGACCCCGACAAGAAGGCCATGTCCAGCCACTTCAGCGCAAGCGAGGAGTCCATGGACTTCCTGGACAAGAGCACAGGTCAGCCCCGGGCGGGAGAGGGTGGAGGAGGCCCCCGGGATTTCCACAGCTTCCACACCTGGTGGGCCAAAGCTGACCACTTCGCAGAACCACAGGGAGCCTCGTGGGGTTTCATTCTAGCGGGATGAGTGACGAAGCTGGATCCTTGCTGTTGGGGACCAAAAAATGACAAAAGCACCTCCAGCAGGCCAGCTTGCAGGTCATTCCTAGAAGTGGGCAGAGATGGTTAGAAATCCTTCTGGGTTCAGCTCAAATGCCCTTTAGATTAATCACAGCAACTTCCCGTAACGGTTTTTCTTTCTCAAGAATTTTATTTTAATTGAAACATGTTTCTATCAAACCCATGCACTTACATCATTTAAGGCCTGAACATCAGAGAAACATGCAAGGTAAGCAGTACTCCTCTTTCCCCAAGGACTGTCCCACGCCTCCGGGGTCACCTGGTTTAACAGCTGCCTTGCGTTTTGAGACTTGCTGTAGCTGAGGGGTTCAGAAGGAGGAGGACGCTGGTCTCAGATTCCAGTCCTGCCACTCCTACCTGTGTGGCATTAGTCAGGGTCCCTGAGCTCTTACGCCTTAGTCTCCGCATCTGTAACGTCGTGATAGGAATAGGATCCTCCTCGTAGGTTCTTATAAGGATTAAATGAATCAAAATACACAGAGGCTTAGAACAGTGCCTGGAGTAGGAAATGCTTCGAAGATATTGACGACTATATTATTTCTTATGGCTGCTGATCAGATGCCTTTGTTCTAGGACACAGTAACTTGTGTTGACATAGTTTCCGAAAAAAAACTTCCCTTTGCCCTTTAGTTTCTGACCAGAGTCCTTAAAAGCTTCCTCTTATTCCACGACACGATTCCACTTAAGCCCAGTTTCGGTTCCCAGGGAGAGCTCACTTTTGAGAAAGTGTTTTAACCTCGGCAGCAGGCCTGGGAAGAGTCGCTGTTGCCTGAACTTTCATTGCCATGATTTTTGCCACGTTCTAGACCACCTCTTTTATTACATTCTTAAATACGAAACCTCCAACGTAGCTTCATCCTAAGTTGAATAAAATGTATACACTCATGTGTTTACATTGCATGTTGTATTTTTTCCTAAAATACATGAAATGAATACATAACTTGTCATATCACACCTGTAGGGCCATGAACCCACTCTCCGTTCTCCTGCACCGTGTTTCAGAAAAACAGTTTCAATGTGTTGACTGTAGCGTCTTTCTTCCCTTGGGTGGTACAGAGGTCGAAATGACATCAGACGTCCTGGCAAAATTCCTGATCATTTGAGTAGCGTTTTAGGTCCTGCGTTAGCAGACTTTAAAGTCCTTCTCCCAAACTACGATCCCCTTGCTGGTATGTGCTTGGGGCATTTGGCTGATCCTGCGTTGTACAGCCAGTGAGTAGTTCAGGAAGAGAAGGTGATACTCAAAATTGTTTTCATCTTACAAATTGCCCCCTTTTCTGTAAGGAGCCCGACAGTAAATATGTTAGGCTTAGTGAGTCTCTGTCACAACCGTGCAACTATTCAGCACGGTCGTCGTTACTAACCCAGCCATAGGCAGTAGGTGGCTGTGACACTGAAGTGTGAATTTCATATAATTTGTATGTTTAGTGAACTATTAATCCTTTTGATTTCCCCTCTACCCCACTGCCCCAACTATATAAAAATGGTAAAAACCTTCTTAGCTTGCAGGCCATACAAGAACAGGTGCTATGCTGGATCTGGCCCGTAGCTTGGTTTGCCAACCTCTGTTGTATAGACTAAGAGAAGCTGATTCAGTCTCCCCGTTTTACAGAAGGCAAGTTGAGGTCCCTAGGAGAGTGCGGGGGAGGTGCCCAGGTTCCCGGTGCCCCCTCCTGACTCTGGAAATGGCTAGTCAGGTTTTCTTTTCATTGCACTCTACTGCCCTCTGCTGTTTGCAGTGATAAGAGCATTTATTGGAAGAAGTGGACTAGTTACTGAAATGTTCCCATAGTCAGACAAGACGGATTTATCCAAAATTGTGTAAAAAAAAAAAGTGCCATAGGAACAGAAAAACCATATAGTTACAGCAATGAAAAAATTTTAAGCAGCAACATAAAATTGAAATAAATTGTTAAATAAAACTTGTATGAGAATTTAGAAACCCTTCTTTTTTGCGAGGGGAGAGGGAGTGTGGATTGAGCTCAGAATCATGTGTCTGTGACCTTAGAACTGGATTTTTGAGAAGCACTTTGTGCGGCCAAAAGCCTTCTACTGGAATCCCATTGTCTTAATGGTCAAAGTGGTTTATATTCTCAGTGGTTTTATTTAATTAAGTTATTTATTTTGCTTCCCCCTTTATTTAGACCTCATGGCCAGAATTGATGCCTTTGTCAATATTTGCTTGTGGGATCCCAATTTAAGTCGTTAATATGTTTTAGGATGAGAATCCGGGGGCCTGTGAGCTAAAGGTCCTTTGTTCTTATAGCTCTATATGGTTACTGCTTAAGGAGAAGGAAAAACATGTTCATAAACTCCTTTATATTGTGAAATCAATATATTTTTATAAAACAATTGTTATTTACGAAGACGGAAGTCACAGACGATACCACCTACCACAGTCAGCCCTTAGCTAGTTTCCAGGACTCTCTCCATGTTGGTTCACGTCATACTATTACTTTGGAAACTCAAATACGTCCAGAGGTCAGGCTGGTATGGAAATGAGAGGCTGGGAAGTGGTAGGGACTGGGGTGAACTAAAGCAGAAATACACCTTATCATGACGCATTACACGTACTCAACGTGTGCTTGTGTGTGCAGCTCTCCCCAAAGCAGTGCAGTGTCTACAACCCGATACGTGATAGTCTGAGCCATCCCTTTTTTTAAAGGGCATTGGGGCCTTTTCCTCCTTCTGGTTAGAGCCACGTGGGAATGGGGGCTGAGTGTTGCCAGATTTCTGGTTGTTCAAGAGAAGTTTCAAATATTTTTTTAAATGCAAACTACCCAGACTTTTATATATTGGCTCATTTAACAACAACAACAATATGCTAGGTTACACACATCCGTGCACTACTTGATACATGTATCACCTGCTTGCAATGTCTGGTGTAGACTGTTGGAGTTTTTTTGTAACTTAACCTGTGTTCTGAATGCTTTTTCATGCTGGTAAATGACCCTCCAACACAGCATTTCTGTCCTGTCGTAGGACCGTCCCGTGATGTTCTGCCGTGTGGCTCATCCGTGCACACCGCCAGGACTTGTGAACACATAGGTTGTTGACGAGGTTTTATAAGCAGAGGAAATTTAGCACGAATCAATCCCTCCTTCACCCCCACCCCACCTGGAGGGCTGGGGTGCGCGGGAGGGAAGGGCCTTTTTTTCTAACTTAATTCTAAGACTCCTGTTTCATGTAGTCAGGACAGCACTTAGCACAGGCTAGGATTTTGTCAATGCAGACAATAGATGATGTGCTTTAGCCCACACTCGTAAATTGCACATCAAAGTATAAAATCTTATTAAGTTATTGGTGACTTCAAAGGCTAATCGTTTTTCCTTTGGGCAGTATTTATGGCTTTATAAAAGGATTGGCATCTGTTTCAAAGCTTAATTGGAATGAGCATTTCCCAATGTCTTTCTGCTCCTGAAAATGCCTAGAGTGATTCCAAACAGGGTTTCTCAGTCTTGGCACTGTGGACAGTTTGGGCCGGATGACACTGTTGTGGGGCTGTCCTGCACCCTGTAGGTTGCTTAGCAGCATCCCTGGTTCCTACCCATGAGATGCCAGCAGCACACCCTGTCCACAATTAGAACCCCCCAAAATGCCTCCAGACATTGCCACATGTCCCCTGGGGGCACAGTCACCCCTCCACTCCCCATTGAGAACTACTGATCTAATGTACCACATTTCCAAATTTTAGCTCTGACAAAATTCTGATGGCTTCACATTAATCTTTGAAACTCTTCAGTATTTACATTTAATTTTGTCTCACTTTTTTCTTGAACATAATATTATATATCTAATAGCACATCTTTGTACCCTAAAAGATGGCAACTATTAGGAATTGGCTGTTCCTTCAGATATTTTTAATGTATATCATCACATTGATGATGATAATTTTGTGGTAGAATGGGATCATACTAAGCTTTTTGCTTCTTTCAACTTTGCGATATTTCTTTGGCTTCTTTCTATGTTAGTGTATATAGTTCTAATTGTCAGTAGTATATAGATTGTACATGAACGTGACAAGTGTTGGGGGTCAGAACTGAATTTTGGGAGATACTCCTTGGGGAAGAAACCTGGTTTTATGAAGTAATGTGAATGCAGATGTTTTAAATGGATACACCGATTTGTTTTCTTCACGTAATTTAACTTTTATATATCTACATCCTTGCTGACTTTCTGATGTCCAATGTTGTAGGCATTTTGGCCAGCCTAGTATTTAACATGTTTCTCTAGATGGCCTCATACAAAACCAGAATAACTTTCAAGAGCATACCTATTCATCTTCACTGGAGTCATACGATTGCGGTACATTTTCTTTATTTACGTTTTTCTGTGTTAGCGTATATTTTCAAAGATTTTGAAGGTCATTCCCGTTGCAGCATGCATCAGCATGGCATTCCTTGTTGTGGACCAGGAACATCCCATTGTGGCTCTACCACAGTGTGTTGATGGACATTCGGGTTGTTGCCACCTTTGGGCTCTTGTGAACTATGTTGCTCTGAACATTTGTGTACAAGGGTTTGATTGCGTTCCTGTTTTGGGTACGTACCTGGGAGTGGACCTTCATGAAATGTACAGGGATTGTCTATCTGTTTGCTGCATGATTTCTCTGCTTTATACATAAAGTGTAAGGTTTTTTTCATCTTCTAAGAACTACTCTTTGTCCCTTGAGGGCATATTGCCCCTGTTGGGAAAGCCCGGACTGGGGTGATAGCAGTGGAGATGGTGGTCAGTGGAGGGGTTGGGGGTATAGTTTGGAAGTGGCGTGCAGAGGCCTGGCTGAAAAGTTGGCTAAGTTGAGGCAGGAGGAATTGGAACGGCCTTGGGCAGCCTGGTGAGTGTGTGTAGCATTAACTGAAAGGGGTTGGGGCAGGTACAAGGTCTGTCACAAATCGGGCAGGTGGCACTCAGGGGTGGACATCGGCTCTGGCTTTTTCAGGGCTAGCTTTCAGGGACCTGTGGGTTGCTTAGTGACTCAGGCACTGCCCCTCTGTCAGTGGCATGAAGCAAGCGGTTGTAGATGCCTGGGTGGGCCTACCCTCCACTGCTGGGTGGAGAGTGAAGCATGCTTGTCTCCATGGAAACCAGTGTTCTCCCATCACCCTTATACTTGCTGGGTCCAAGTGCTCTGTTTAAAAAAACACTTAAAAGATGTTTCTTGCCGTAGCCAGTTTAGCTCAGTGGATAGAGCATCAGCCTGCAGACTAAAGGGTCCTGGGTTGGATTCTGGTCAGAGGCACATGCCCAGGTTGTGGGCTCAATCCCCAGGAGGGGGTGTGCAGGAGGCAGCCAATCAATGATTCTCTCTCATCATTGATGTTTCTATCTTCCTCTTCCTTTCTGGAATCAATAAAAAATGTATTTTTAAAAAACATGTTTCTTAAACCCCAATACTGGAACTTTATTATCAAAGGAAACTTTATATGTCTGTGAAATTAAAGGCTTGTTCCAGTTATTTATTTATTTTTACTACACACTTGCACCTATGTGTGCGCGCGCGTGCGCGCACACACACACACACACAATTATATTGATTGATTTTAGAGAGAGAGAGAGAGGAAGGGAGAGAAGCATTGATTGTTGGTCCACGTATTTATGAATCCATTGATTGCTTGTATGTGCCCTGAGCAGGGATCGAACCCGCAACCTTGGTATATTGGGACGATGCTGTAACCCATTGACCTGCCCGGCTAGGGCCACACAGAATTATAAAGCTCATGGCTTTACCTGTGTTGCTGCTAAAATCCTCTGCATAACCACAAATGGGGCAGGGCTTTGTTAGGCCGCCGCCTGGCCTCTCCTTACATTTTTAACTCGACTGTTAGGCAGAGAACCGTGGATTTACGTGGTGGAGGTCTCTTGTGACAGTACCTTTGCGTGGGATTTTGTTCCTGTTTCCTTTAGGGTTAGGCTTCTTGGCAAAGTTCCCCACAGTCCTCAGGAGCGCTCTGACAGCGTGCTAAGCGAGCCCCTCTTTGCTAGGCCGGCTTGTTCGTTCATTTTAGAGCAGTGGTCGGTCGCCAACCGGTGGTCCGTGGGGTCCGCGAGGTCCGAAAGGTGGCGACGGCTGTGTCAGAGAGCACAACTCGAAAAGCCTGGTCTGCAGCCCTCATGGGGAGGGTAGTCTACCGATCCTTTCAGCCACCGGAAATCTCTTGGAAGCGGGGGGCGCATAAGTGAGTGGATTACTGAAAAGCAAAACCAAAGAAACATCCCAACACTAAAGGTTTTATTGGAAATATTGAAATCTTTTAAAATGTCTTAAACTTCATTTATTCCTGTTGGTTTAGGTAACAAGCACTTTATTTCTGCTTGTTATCCTAGCAGTGGTGAGAGGAGCAGGGTTAGTACCAGTAATAACAACAGCCCTCAGAATGCGGAATGCTGGGCCAGGTATTCGTTCATTCTTACAGTAAAACTGATTGAATTCAGTACTCAAAAGAGCTGAGTCCTCACAATGGTTTCGAATGTTTCTTGAGCACTCGCTCAGCCCAGGTGACCTTCTCCCCACCTCTGCTCCTCATTTCCGGGGGAGGCGAAGGATTCCCAGAGACACGACTGCGGTCCCCGTGTGGGCGCATCAGTTCAGCACTTGTTGGCATTTGGGGGCAAGATAGTTCTTCTTCAGGGACGCTGTCCTGTGTCCTGTAGGATGTTAGCCGTATCCCTGATCTCTACCTCCTAAGGTGCCTGGAGCACCTTGTCTCCTGGTCTGACAACTAAAAACATCGGCAGACACTGCCCTGTGTGCCCTGGAGGAGAGCTGCTGGTTTGGATGATTGAAACCGAAGCCCCAGAGGTGAAGGGGAAATAGAAACCACTACTACTACACTAAGAGCAGGCGATGCACAGGGTAGTACTTAACAGATGCCAGACAGCTGTCCAGATGACTGACTGACTTGGTCCTTAGAACTTGATGAGTGTAGGGACTTTCACCCTCCCTTTGTAGGGTGTTGTTAGTATTCCTCTTGGCTGCTGCCAGGAGAGGAGATTCAGAGACAAGGTAACGTACCCAAAGTCACACAGCAAGTCGGCGCAGAGCTGGGACTTGCACTCAGTCTGGCTTCCAGTCCATGCCCGAGTCCATTTCTCTCTGCATCTAGAGTCTCTCCCACTGTCTTACGTTCAGTGCAGCGTTGGCAGGTCCTGGCGCTGGAGATGAGGTGACCTCAGGTGTATTGGTGTATCCGTTACTGATGCTCACTCTGAGCGTGCCCATTTGGCAGGTGAGGAAATGGAGGCAAGCACCCACCCACGTAAAGGGGGGGTAGTTGACCAGTGTCTCATCACTCCATCGGGGCTGCATTTAGCTCCCGTCAGCATTGCCCCTTTGACGTGAGAGTCCCGAGCTCTCCTGAGGGGTCCAGTTGGCCTTTGGCAGGTGCGGTAGCTGTGAGGCCCACCCCTGCGTCTCCCACAAACGGGTGACATGCCATCTGCAAGCCTGGCTCTGGGCTCTGTGTCTGGCCCGTGCTGGGGTCTCTGCTTTAAATTGCTATTTATTTTGAGATTTTTCACACTCATGAATGGGCCAAACCAGTTACAGTGGCAGCTTAGCCGATTTGTCTTAGAGCTTTGTGTCTAATAGAATAACTGGGAGGCCTCCTTCCTGTGTGGCCGAAATGGTTTAACATGGGGAGGAAGTCCTTTGCTTTGAAACCAACGGCCGGCCCTGCTCGCTGCCCCCTGCTCTGGTGCCCTGCTGGAATCAAATACAGTTTCTCCGCTCTTGCCCACCCCACACCTACCTACAAGTCTGATTTGTTTATTTCTTCGTAACTCTGTCCTTTAACAAGTGCCTTATCTTTTCAGCGTCGCCGGCCTCCATGAAGACGGGCCAAGCGGGGAGTTTATCCGGCAGCCCGAAACCTTTCTCTCCTCAAGCGTCCACGCCAATCACAACGAAAGCAGACAAGACGGCCACCACCGGAAGCATCCTGAACCTTAACCTGGGTCAGTGGGGATTTTTGGAGTCTCTTGCTGGGGCACCTGCATATTTTTGCAGGTTGTGATGCCTTCTTTTGTGTGGTTCTTGAACTCTGAACTCTCTGAGTAAACCGTGTGAAAGGTAAAGTAGAGGAACATGAAGATTGGTCAATAAGAGGGACAAGTGAGGGGTTTCCTGGGGGCTGTTGAAGTACCTAAGGCCAGTGTCTACAGCCATACTTGCCCTTGACCATGGTCACCCAGTTCTCACATGTAAATATATATACTTGAAGTTATATGTGTGTGTGTGCGCGCGCATACATTGAGTATTACGAATCAGTATTTACCTTTTCTATGTGCAGTATATTCTTAGGTCAAAGTCTTTAGCAGACATTGGCATTGGAAATGTTAATTACCTAACTTCCTGATTCATTCCACCGTTTCCTAGTTTTTATTGAGCGTCTGTCATGTGCTGTGTACGGCGTTGGCATGGGGCAGAGTACGGGGAGGAAGGGCCCTGCTCCTGTGGCGCTTGGGTTCTAGAACGGGACAGAGAATCATCAGGGTAGATAAACAGGACAGTTCATTCTGGAAGGTAAAATGTGTTGATATGATAAGGAGAGAGATGGGTGGGGTGGAGGTGGGGAGAAGAGGCAGTGGTTCGGGGGTGGAAGGGTTAGGGAAGGCCTATTTGAAGCGGGGAGTTGCATGACAGGAAAAACCAGTCGTGCCAGGACCAGGAGGAAGAACATTCCAGAAGGAACAAGAACGTTACAGGCCCGAGGGTAAGGATGAGCTTCGTGTGTGAGAGGAGGGGCAAGGAGGCCCAGGTGGTGTCCCGCGGCTGACGGGAGGTTAGGAGGTGAGGTTAGAGAGCGGGACGTTAGGAGGTGAGGTTAGAGAGCACGGGGCCTGAGGACCCTGGATCGAGCAGTGCAGGATGTGAACTGACTGAGAAGTTCAGAAGGACTCTTGGCTCCTACGTAGACCAGCCCATTCTGCTGTTCGCAAACCGGGCAGTTCCTCCCTCCCCGAAGGGCTACTTGCAGGGTCTGGAGACATTTCTGGTTGTCACCCCTGGGGGTGGGAGGTGCTGCTGGCCTCTGGTGGGTAGAAGCCAGGATGCTGTTGACCACCCTACAGTGGATAGTAGGCCACCACAGCCAGGAATTACTGGGCTGTGCCAGTAACTGTGTTGACAGATTGGATGTGGCAGGAGAATAGGAGCCAAGGGTTCAGTTTTAGATTTTGTATGTTTGGTGCCCTGAGGCCAGGTCGAGGCAGGAGGTGTCATTCGGGGAATCTTGATTATACGCGGGGTGGGCTAGAGCAGTGGTTCTCACAGAGCTGGGCAGGGGGTGCCTGCTACTGGCATTGAGCGATTTAGTGATTGCAGATCAGGGACGCTGTTATACAGCCTACGCTACCCCCACACCCCAACCCCTCAGCAGGGAATTATCTCATCCCAGTGGCAGTAGTGCTGAGATGAAGACCCTGGCCTAGGGCATAAAGGGCGGGTGGGGGCCCTGGGACACGCCCATGGAGACAGGTCAGCAGGAGGGGGACAGAAGCAGTGGACAGGAGCAAGCCGCCCTGTGTGTGTGGTCCTGGAGGCCTCTGGAACAGGGCTTTCGGAGGGTGCTCCAGTGTGACTATAGAGCCTGCGGTGGTCGGTGCCTTCCGGGTTCACCTTTTCCTGCAGTGCCCTTTCGGATGGAGAAACTGGGGTCTGGAGAGGTGGCTTCTGGTGTCGGGATGGCAGAGCCCGAAGGTGGCGGCAGGGCCGGGTCAAGCCTGTGCTCCATGGAGGCCAGTGCCCTGTGCACCCGGTCACTGTCAGGGCCACCCAGATGTGACTGACCAGTCGGGGGGATGTAGGGGCTCCAGTTCAGATTCACTGGTGGGAATCGCTCACTTGAACAAACAGGCGACCCGTTTGCTGCCTTGGGGAATAGTCACCTCTCAGCAGTGTGGTTTGCTTTCTCATGCCTTCCTCCCACCTCCACACCCCGAAAAGAATTGCCATGTGGAGGCGTTCTCACGGTCGCATTTCCTCTTTGCCAGCCATGCATGGCAAGAATAGCTCCTTCCTTAACCCAGGCGGACCGTGGGCATCCTCGTGACACGGGGACTTCCTGTTTGGCCTGACCCACCGTGGGAGTGCGCGGCTGCTTCCTGCCTGCGTTTGGGTGGGCGGGCACAGCGGGACCAGGCCTCTCCTGCCCACTGGGGGACACGGGCCTCATTTTGTCAGCAGGAGCGGAAGCCTTGGGATGTGGGCGTTTTAGGGCTGGGGTTCCAATCACCTACTGGAAAGAGGATCAGAGAGGGATCCGTGAGAAGCGCCATGGGTGGGTTGAGAAATGGGAAAGTGGAAGGGGATGCGAAGTATTTTTCCAGAATCCCAGGGAGGGGACACATGCTTATGGTGTTTCATTATGTCTATCATCTGTGTGACTACTTGGAGCAGACAGAAGTGCCAGGGATAATGGTGACATTATTACATCTAACAAAATATTTATTTATTTTTATTTATTTTTTTAAAATATATTTTATTGATTTTTTACAGAGAGGAAGGGAGAGAGATAGAGGGTTAGAAACATCGATGAGGAAACATCGAATATTTTATTGATTTTTTACAGAGAGGAAGGGAGAGAGATAGAGGGTTAGAAACATCGATGAGAGAGAAACATCGATCAGCTGCCTCCTGCACATCTCCTACTGGGAATGTGCCCGCAACCCAGGTACATGCCCTTGACTGGAATCGAACCTGGGACCTCTCAGTCCGCAGGCCGACGCTCTATCCACTGAGCCAAACCGGTTTCGGCTCTAACAAAATATTTAATTAAAAAAATTACACTGAGAAAGGCAAGCTTACAGGGATGGCAAACAGATCAATGATTGCCGGGGTGGGGGTAGGGGATGGTTTGACTGCGATCTCAGGGGCAGATGGAATTGTCCTGCATTCTGTTTGTGGTGGTGGTTCCACAAATCTCTGCCAGTGTTAGAATTCAGAACTGTATCCCCCAAAACGTGAATTTTACTCTCTGCAGATGAAAACTACTCAAAGGCAGGTACTCGCCCCATTTCACAGAAGGCCCAGGGAAGGGAAGTTGCCTACCCAGGGTCACACATGGGTCCAGGTGAAGTTGGGCCTTCAGACTCAGGCCTGTTTTGCTGTGTAGCTGCAGCTCTTCACCGGGATATGGGAACTGAAATGCTTCAAGATGCGGCCCTGTTTTGACTTTCATGTGCCCTTGAAAGGGGTTGGGGGTAGAGTGATGATTCGGAATGGGGGATCACACAGAGGAAGAGGTGCCTTTTTAAAGGAAGCAGCTCCTACCACTTGAACCTGTGTTGTCAGATTCTGAGTTTTCAGAAAAACAGAAATCCTGATTTTTGTGTGAATTCTCCTAGTTTTAAAAATGTGACGTCGATTTCATCAAAAATAAAAAGAACTCTACTCGGGCCAAATAAATACAACTAAAAATACGGAAAACCAGCCCATGGGTCGTCCGTGGTTGCTTAATTACTCTCATAGCTACTGGGCATGAGCGAGGGGAAGGTTTACGCAGACCGCCCTCAGCCTGCTGCTGGCACACAGCCTCTCCTCTCGGCTCCAAACAAGGAGCCAAACAAACCCTGGAGGATTGTCACGGCTCCTCCTGTGGCTTAACTCGTCATCATAGTGAGGACGTGCTGGTGAGACTAGGAGAGAGAGGAGGCCCTGATTCTTGTCTGCCTTCCGGTTCGCCTGGCCTGCGAATCCTCATCTCTTATCTCACAGAGGGTGTCTGCTTGGGGCTGGACACACCCAGCAGTTCCGGGGCCTGCGAGTGACAAAATGTGCTTTGCTGCTCTCCCCACGGTGGGCGCCCGGTGCCGCCCAAGCAACGGAGCGTGTCTGCTTGTCTGTTCCTCCCGGTGGCTGCCGGGAGGCGTCCTTCCTTTCTCACACGAAGCAGGGCCTTGGCAGCCAGGCATCTGAGAGCCGGATGCAGAGCAGGGCCTGGGTCTCCCAGAGGTGGTCTTGGTTTTTGTTTTTGCAGTGAGTGCAGTGAGGAGGGTCTCTGCCTAGCTTTGACGGCCAGGAGACCATCTGCTGGGGTCTCCTGTCTGAATGTTGTTCCCCGAAGGACCTGCCATTTTGTGGCTCCTGGAAGTCCATCCGGTAGAGTCTCCCGGCAGCTTTGGAACAAAGGAGTTTTGTTTTGTTTTTTTCCCTTTTTTTTGTTTTAACTGAAAAAAGAAGTGGTTATATTTCTCTTTTAAAAAGCTTTATTGGTTTTGTTTTGGTTAATCCTCGCATGAGGACATTTTTTCCGTTGCTTTTCAGAAAGAGTGGAAGGGGGGAGGGAGGGAGGGAGGGAGGGGGAACATGGATGTGAGAGAGACATCGAGTTGTTGCCTCCTGCACATGCCCCGACTTGGGGCAGGAGCGAACCCGCAACCCAGGTACGTGCTCTTGATCGGGAATTGGACCCGGGATCCTTCAGTGCTCAGGCCGCCACTCTGGCCAGGGCTCCCGTGTTTTTATGAGCAGTGAATGCACACGGTGAGAGAAAGTTCACAGGACAGAACGATGTGGAATGAAAAGCCATCCTGGCTGCAACCCTCTGATCACCTGCCTCTATACCCGCTCCTCACAGGTGACCGCTGTGTTTTAGTCGCTGTGGAGAGCTCGCCTAGGTACATCCCAGTGGTTCTCAAACTGGGTGATTTTTGTCCCTCGGGCACGGTGCAATGTCTGGAGACATTTTTATTGCCACAACTGGGATGTGGGTGCTACTGGCACCTAGGGGTGGAGGTCAGGGTTGCTGCCAAACATCCTACAATGTGCAGGGCAGCCCGCCCTCCCACTGCCACTGCCCCCAACAGAGACCTGTCCGGCCCCAAATGTCTTAAGTGCCAGCATTGAGAAGCCCCAAGAACACAGGTGTATTCATATCTATCCTCCGTTTCCTTCTTTCTCCCCCACACCAACGCTAGAGTGCGCTGCCGACTGTGCCCTTCTCAGTAAGCAGGCT